TGCACACGGGCTCTGCCCTGCCAAAGGGCTGCAGAGCTGGGGACGCTTGCTGTGACGCGGGGAGGGGACAGCCGCCGGTCCTGCTGGCCTTCTGTGCGGTTTGTTGAACGGCACATCTGAGCACGTTAGTCTGACTGGTGGTGGTTGAGATACAATTTCTCAATTTTCCCTAGTGCCGCATGTTTAATCACAGCGCATGCGGTGTTGGTCTGTGCTTGGGGATATACGGACCCCGAACGAGCAAGGTGAGTGGGCTCCTGTGGGGTTTCGTGTCCTCGTTGCTGCCAGTACCTAAAAGGAGGTACGCAGAGCTTCGCTCAGGGCCAAAGGGTCTCTCACCCTGTGGCACAGAGAGGTGTTGGGGTCCTTGGGGGTTAATGGGGAGCAGTGCCAAGGCCAGGAAGAAGACACAAGCCCTGGTGAGGTGAGTCCAAGGTGCAAACGGACAAACCTAGCCAGTGGAGATGATGGAGGTTATGGAGTAATGGCAGTCCTGCCTTGGGCTGCAGCTGTGGGTTGCTGGGACTCACTCCCCCAGGACAGCAAAACCCACGTTCGGATGGGTTTCCACAGGGCAAGGGGCAGCCCTGGCTCCATCCTGGGTGCTGGGCAGCAGGGACCTCCCGTGAGGCTGGGGAGGGGGTCTCTTTGGGGTGATGCAGACCTCAGGTCTGCAGAAAGCCAGGATGCCTCCAGCATCCTGCACTGGAGAAGGGCTTTCTGAGGACCCAGACCTGAGGGATCAGGGGGAGTCTCAGCAGTTTTTGTTCAGCTGGACCCTGTCTGCTCTGTGTTCTCACCCAGCCAGGGCTGCTGCGGAGGAAACAGAATTTTCAGCTTCTGAAGAGCCTCTTTGTTTCTCTCCCAGCTGTGATCTGAGACCTGGCTTGCATGAGACAAAGTCTCCCTAGGCCGTATCAGATTCCCAGTGTAGAACTCTAGTTTGATCATAAATAAAGCTCAAGAAGCCCCATTCATCAAAAGAGAAACTTTGTTCTGGCTGCAGAATACGTGGAGGCTCCTGCGGGCTGGAACACGTTAAAAACCACTTTGCAGTTGGGACAGCTGGGTAGCGATCCCGCGGGAGGGGGAATCTAAAGATGCAAACTGTGAAACGTTTTAGGATGTGTTTACAATATTGTTGTGAATGAGTGGTCAGGTCGCTTAAACAATCACTCAAAGGTTTTGCAAGGAAAGATTTTACTGAAAATTTAGAAAATATGATTTTACAAAGTCTGTTGGCAAGGTGCACTCAGTTACTTATTAAATGAATGGAATACAAAATCAAAGGAGGTTTTTGAGTAGAAAATGATTTATACAGAGTGGAAGAAAAGTGTCAGGGAATAGGGAGACTCCCCCACTGAGTCACCAGGTTCAGACTGGACCCCTGTGCTTGCTAAACTCCTCTCAGAGAGGAGCCTAGGTGCGGCTGCATCCAGAACCAGCCTTAGACCACAGTGGTTTATGTCTAAGGAATACGTTTAGCAGCAATTCAGGTTGTGTTCACAGTTTAAAGAGAGAAAGAATAACAGGGATTTAGCAGCTATTAATCACTGGTTAACTTAGCATTTAGAGAGTGAAGAGAAAGAATTTGCTATTACAATCACAGTAATAGAATATTCTATTTTGAATTGATTCACGCACACACACGCACTCATTAGAATTCCTCTTGAGTTCAGTGAAATACTTACTTCAAATCAAATGATTTCTCAACGGGCGAAGGTGGAATCTGGAGGAGATCAGCCCAAATAGTTTGCGAGTTACTCTGAGCAGCAGAGGGAGTTACTGGCCGCACCCGCTGCGGACCAGAAGAGCTCAATGGGCCTTCCTTGGTACCGCTGTTTATAAGGTCTCAGGGTGATTGACTTTAGGCATCGGTGATTTTCCATCCTGGTCACAATCCACATGATGCAAGCCTGATATTTAGACAGCAGCTATACAATTCTAGTACTACCCGGCATGTACAGTTCTGACACTTACGGGCGGCTGTGACGCCAGGCAGCAGAGCTTCAAGGTGCGGTCAGGGAGTGCCTGATCGGCCCAGCTCACCGCTCTCGCACAAAGACAGGGAAGGTGCCAAGTTGTCCTGATTCAAAGGCAAGAGAAAGGGCCAGTCACGCCAGCTCACTGTTCTTGCAGTGCAAGCAAGAATACAATGTTGGCTGCTTCTGGGATCGCCAGGTGTGAGGGGTGGTTGCACCATCACAAATGTTGTCTAATGAACGTATGGAATATGCACAGACTGTGTGGCTTTACGAGCTTTGGCTGCCTCCCGGCCCCTCTCAGACGTCGTGAGCTGAGCGCAGATGCTGTCTGTCTGCTTTGGGTCGTGCAGAGGTGCGTCCCAGCTCTCCGCGGAGGAGCATCCTTTGCATTAAGACATCTCTCTGCCAGTCAAATGCTCGGCCTCTCTGCAGTAGCATCTCCAGACTGACAGCCGGGGGCCCCCCCCCTGCCCCCAGCCGCTCTCTGGCCATATCTCTTATCTTCAAATGCCAGGTAAAGGATTATAGTCAAAGTTGCAAATAAGGACAAAGATTTTCACTAAAACTTAGTTGTAAATACATATTTTTCACAATTGAACATATCTATTATTGCTTTCCTGGAGTGTGATTTATTCCTTTGTGCATGGCTGCTTTCTGAAAGCCAAGAAGGAGTAGGCACTTATGTAGGACTAAAGCATGAGGCCAGAGACTTAAACTGATTTCAGTCTTCACATGAACCATCACTGCTGTCAGCCAGACAGTGGCATTTCTATAAAAATCCCAATGTAAATATTTGTTCTAAATCAGGCTCTTTGCTCTTGCCTTGAGTATAACTGAGGGAGCTTATGAAATGCTGTATCGTTTCAAGATTAATTGCTACTGAAAGCTGGAGGATTTGTTGTCTGCCCTTCATGCACCCCCCTGGGATAATCTCCTCTCAATTTAGTTTCTTTCTTCAAATTCTTTCTCCCCAGACAGTGAGTTTTGCAAGGGCCAAACTGTTTTCCTCCCCTAAAAGCGTATCTATTTTGCTAGCCCTCGCTGCTCCATCAGCAGACAAACCAGAGGATGTTGATGAAGGGAGATGAATATTTGCCTCTACAAACAGTTGGATTATTCCCACTTTTCAGATGCCATCTGTGTGACAGGGTTTGGTTTGTACTAAATACAGCCTGTGGGCTGAGCTGAGAAAACAGATTGCTGCACCACTGAGTTAAATAGTTATTGTTGAAGTCTGGTTCATCAGAGAAATTTAGGCTGGCGTGGAGGGTTGTTTTGGGGGGAAGATGCAGCTCACTTCCATGTCAGGATGCTGAAATCAGATTTTAATTTAAGTTTTGCTCACACTCTCTGTTGGCAGCTCTGTCACCTGGGATCCGCAGGACTTCTCACCCGCAGTTTGGAGGCAGGCAGGGGTGGGAACCCCCAGCGCTCTCGTCCTTCTGCTCCTGGCTGGGTTGGTGTGGAAAAGGGGCTTTCGCTGCCTGCCACTCTTGTATTTTCTTTCTGCCTTTCCCCAAGCCCTCGATGCTGTGAGCAGTTTCAAACACAGACCGAGCAAACACTCTGAAGTTCAGCAACATTTTACATCGTTACAGATCACCAGGCACAGCCCTGTGTCCCGCTGGTTGCAGCTCTGAAGCATACACACACGGACACATGCATGGTGCAGAACGGTCCTTTTAATCCTTCTGTCCCTGCGGAGGAACGGCAGAGCTCCAGAGCCTGCGTGAACGCGTGGAGATCCCTCCCCTTCAGGTGCTACAGATAAAGCACAGAAAGTATGTTCTGCTTGCAGCAGCTCCTTATATTTGTGATCGGTACAGTAAGTATAGTATGCTGCTTCTAGCTGATTTATTTTTGCATACAATGAGGAAAATAACCTGAAGGTTTAATTTGCCTTTATACCCAAAGTATTTGGGCTTAAAATATTTGGTTTTTTTTTCCACTAAGTATTGCACTTGCTGTGAGTGTATCTACACCAGCCTTCTACAAGATCTGTTGGCATCTGTGTATTTCAACGCCACGTGAGAGGACTCGGCACACTCATGAGCTCGAGCGGCGACTCTTGCTTGGTCTCCTCTTCTTTGAAAACTGGGATTTCAGCCAACTGAAGAAGCCGCCTTTTGCTTTTAACTCAAACTCTACAGGAAAGTGGTCACTGACGCCCAGCGCCTGCAAGACAACAGCACAGAGGGATTGGGAGCCGGCCGCCCATGCTCTTCCCAAGCCCTGCCCCAGGGGTTTCACGGCGGCGGTGGGGAGGTGGGTGTGCAGTGGTGGAGGTGGGGAGGCGCAATGCGAGCATTGCATCGCTTTGGGAGGATGCAGCCCTTTTATGGACAAGGCCATGTTCAAAACTGCCTGGATACCGTTGGCTTTGTGCTCCTGTGTTAGCCCTTGCCCTGCTGCCGCAGAGGCCATGCTGTGCCTACCTGCTCCTCGGCCCTCTGAACATACTGATGGAAGTCCATTGACAGAGTGTGGCACAATGGCCTGGACGAGCTTCTGCCCACTGACCACAATCCTGCAAGGAGCAAGGGACAGGGTGCTGTTACGGGGTGCCTGACCAGCGGCAGCCGTGCTGCACGAAGCTGGTGGCCAGAGAGGTGGCCTTGATGAGGTCATATCTAAGTACGGTTTGTCCTTCTCCATGGGCTGCCTACTTAGAGATGCCAGCACGTGCTTTCTGCTGAGTTGGGCTGATTGCTTTCCTTGGGAGCGAGACACCGAAATACCTTGGTGTGTATTGGCCTTGGAAGCCAATGTTAAATGACTTGTATCTAAACCCACCCCAGCAGTGCTGCAAAGTTCAAAGCCATACTTTGGACACAAAAATCATAGGACACGGGTGACTGGAGTCTCAGTGAAGTCCTGATTTGATCCAGAAGCTGGTTCTGCAAGAGGTTTAAGTCTTGACTTGCTCTGGGCTCTAATAAGCTGAAGTATTTATTGTCCGTGCTGAGGGAACTGCAGGTAGCAGCAGGACATGCACCCTGCTCGGGGAAGGCGAGGTGTCCCACCTCCTGAGCAGAGCCAGGCTTTGCATTTATCAATCCGAATTACGAATGCAAGAGCAAAAACCATGGTGCAAAGCCAGCACGGAGGAGGCAGCAGTGCCTTCCGCCTGGGTGTCCGCAGGGCTCTGCAGGTGAGAAGTGCTGCGTCATTACCTGTCATTTATCTCCACCTAAGCCACAGCAACGGCTGATTCTTGCATGAAATCTTGCCCTTTCTACAAAGCTGCTTGCCAACAAGCCTGCGGGGTGGAGTGCTTTGTGCTCCTGACTAGGGGTATTCAGATCTCATTTCCCCCTGGAAGCTGTTCTGTCTCTGAAGGCCTCATGCACATTTGCTTTATCTTACAGTCACTGACACCTTTCCATATGTTTTTTTCCTCAGAAAGTCATAAACAGGGAACGGTTTGGCAGCAAACCCTTTACCTGTCATATGGGCAGCTTGTGCTTCTCTTCACTGTTGTGTCATTTTTGTCTCCAATTAGCCAGACAAATTCAGAGTAAGTCCTCAGCCTGATGTTCTTCCACTGCTTTTGGGGAACATAGCTACATCCAGCATTAAAGTCCCCCATGAAGATGAAGTTCTGGAAGGCAGGAGGTTTTTCAAAAATAATCATAAAGACAGCTCTTCAAAAGAAGACTAGCAAGGACTTCTAGGGTCAACAGATGTTCCCAAGAGCCCATACAGCTCAGACAGTGAGCGCTCATTGAATGTAGTGGGGCTTCTCCTTTCTGCTGGGTGCACCGCCGAGGCGTGCTGATAAAACAGCAGTTTTATCAGGAGATCAAGTTTACCAATTAAAATGTGGAGAACCTGATGAAAATACATCCAAGAGATACTCAAAATCCGGGGTTTGTTATCAACGGTTTTAAGGTCACCAGGCCATGAATAGCGAATAGCGTGCCAGGTGACTCAGTACCACAGCCGCTGTTAGTAACGTCGATGTCTCAACTAACCTCAGTTTTCCAGCGCTGTTTCATATCTAAATACACATCATAGAGCTCATCAATCTCCCGCACTGCTGTCTCCGGTGCGGTGTGTAGAGGGATTATAGCAAACTCCTTGACGGCTTAGAAACAAGGCAAAAAACCAGGAGAAAACGTAATGGGTAAACACACACTGAATCACAAAGAAACAGAGGTTGACTTGGAAGCAAAGAGGTTTTTCTGAAGAAGAAACAGCTTCTGTTCTGGCTGTGGATCAGAGGCGTTTGCTGTGTAATAGCACAGTGCTCCCCAGCAGCTGCCCGCAGGCTGCGACACGGTGAGGTGCTGTGGCAGGGCAAGGCAAACCCTGCTCCAACACCCATGGCAAGAACTGCTCCCAGGGCCGTGCCAGTGGCATGGAGCCCATCCACCAAACCACCGCCTGCTTTCCTGGGTGTGCACCGAGCTGCGGGCCATGCCGGAGGCAGCGGCCCCAAAGGCAAACGCTGCTCCTGCAAGGAAATGCAGCGTGGGGTCAGGCTGCGGCCTCTTTTGCCCACCCCGCCCCACGCTCAGGTCCAGCCGGTGCTGTCTGGCTCTGTGAGACCCGCCACTGGGAGAATAATTTGTTTCTGAAACATCTCACTGGTTTTTGGAGACCGGAACCAGATGGCAAAGGGCTCTCTGGAGAAGGCATCCTCGTCCCCAGGCTGGGTGTCAGGGTACTGGTAGGTTTGTTTCACCGACACCAGATGTTGCCTGCAGCAGAATAAAGAGGATGGGGGATGCCATGCTCGTGGCTCGCTGGGATGTGCCTAGCATGGACCCCATACTCGGACGCGGGGCAAACACAGCCAGGCTGGTGGCTGCGCCTGCCCGGGGTGATCCCCAGCCCCAGGCACAGCCCATCCCGCCCGCGCAGCCTGCCCTCCTTGCAGCTCTTCCAGCCCAGCCTCTCGCTGACCACGCAGCTGTACTCCTCCTGCGGCCCCTCCAGCTGACTGGAAGGAAAGTCATTTTCCCGAGTTTATTTCTGCATTCACAAAGGGCAAAGGAGGAGGTAATTCTGCCCGTGCCCAAGGTAGGGGATGTTGCCGGCCTGATCTCAGAGGTGGGTGGCAGAGGCAAAAACCCTTCTCAGGACCTGTGGTCTGGACCTGTGCTCTGTCACTGCATCTGATTCTACATCCTCCCTGCTTATTGCAGCCTCTGTCTCTCTCTCAGCTGATTCTCACGTCCTGGCTCCGGACTGCCAGCCCAGGCAGGCAATCCCCAGTCTGAAGCAATTCCCCACCCTGCAGCAGGGCAGCTCCCTGCCGCAGCCCCGCGCTAGCCAGGCGAGGGCCTGTCCCTCCCTTTTCTTTTGAGAATTAGTCTTTAACAATTTGAACCCAACTTGGTTATTTTGATTTAAAAATACATGTCCCACAGCGGTCTGGAGCTGGCTCTGCTCCTGGCCCTCAGCGAGGCTGCCAGAGCCTGGTCCTTCCTCAGCGGCTGTGGTGGAGCCCAGACCCTGAGCTTTCACCCCAGGAAGGCAGCGCTGAGCAGAGCACGGGCGCTTGCCAAGCATCTTTCCCAACATTTGCCTGCTTGCCCATGACCACCCTACCTGGTGAGCTTCTCCACCAGGAGAGGACAAACCTGGTTCTTGTTCTCCTTTATTTCCATCAGCAACATGATGTCACAGCGAGAAATGATCTGCAAGGGGAAGGAGCAGAAGCAAGTTTGCACGCAGTGGGTTTTGGAGGATGAGAAAGCGATTGGAAAGAAGTGGTTACTGGTGCGGGGGAAGTCCTTTGTGGAAGAAGCAGCTCCCACCCTGAGGTCATGGGAGGGGGGCAGCGGCTGGAGCAAAGTCCTTCTGCTTTCAGACCTGCCTCACGCCCGCATGGGACCTGGGAGAGGGAACTGGAGAGCAGAGCAGTTTCGGGTTTGTTGAAAAACTTTTGCTCCTGCCCCTGAGGAGGAAGTGTGGAGGGGATGGGGCAGTGAGAGCCGCTGCTGGGAGGCCGCCCCCCAGCTCACTCAGTGCCCAGATGGATGTGGCAGGAGGATCTGGGGGGCATCGAGGGGAGCCTGTTTGCACCTATCATCAATCCACTGCAACGGTTTCTGTCCTTTTTCTGGTGTATATGCCCCAGAGGTCCTATGGCTATGCCGTGCCCTCCGACAGCTGCGTGCGCTGTCAGCATTTGTCTGTCCCAGTCGTCTGTTGCAGACCCCTCTGAAACTGCCCATAGAGCCCAAAGTGACCCCCGGTCTGATAGCAGGGTCCTGGCGTCCGTGGGCTGCAGCACCGCAGAGGAGCTGTGGGGTGCTGGGGAGCGGAGGGGAGGCTGCCCCAGCCCAGCTCATCTCCCATGCCCGGTGCTGGGATTCCCTGCGGGAAAGCCCAGCTCACCCCGCAGCCTGGCTTCCTTCTGCCTCCAGTTTTGTCACTCTTTGAACTTTGTGAGTGATATTAATGGAAAAAAGCCTCTTTTTGCCTCCTGAAACTGGTAAGAAATTAACATAATGCCCATAATTTAGTACATATTGCCCATAGTGTTGACAGCATAGGAAGAACAACCAGCAATGCAGACCCCAGAAAATCCCTCTTCTCCGGCTGTTTGCAACCAAAGGATTAAAGCCCAGGTAAACGGTGTCGTTCCTCGCTGCTGCGTTCGGCACGCGCAGCCATCCCGCCGACACCGAGCACCGCGTCCTCCGTTACCGTGGCATCTCGGAGGGGACTTGCAAAAGCTGTAATTCCACAACATGGTTCTTTTAGAAAGCTGAGTTATCCTCAGCTGCTGCAAAGGAAGCCTGCTGGTGAGGGTTTATTTACATAAATTAGCAATCAGGCTTTTCAATTTTGTACCACACCCTAATACGATACTCTCTGCTGTCCTGAGAATATGTTTAATTAGACAAGAACATTTCAGAATAATGAGCACATAACCAAAGTAAATAATGCATCACAAAACAAAGCTCTGTGGATTCAAAGTGAAAATTATTTTTACTGTGCACAGTTTTCCTCCTTTCCTAACTCAATTTCCAAATGAAACAGCAAATGTTTCTGTTATATTCCCATGCACGCTAAGAGAACAGCAAACACCCTATTCAACCACAGACTGATTTTTACTTTAAGAGTATAAAATTATTTAAATTATTAACTCTTTTTTTGTTTTTTTACTTGAAATTCAACTGTGAAAAATGAATAAAGTACAAGATAATATAGCTAAGAAATCCTTGGAGAGCTCAATGTCTGTCTCCTCCAGGCAAGCAAACGTACCTTTACCAAGGCATCGATGACTTCAGGTCTGGCTATTTTTGTTTCTCCAAAAGACCTCACATTGAAGGAGCAGATTTTTAGGCTCAGAGATGGGTTCAAATTGAAGATTGAAAGCAAGATGAAGGGCAACATCTTCAGGGGCTTGGACAAAATGAGTTGTTGAGAGTGTGGCTATATATGTGTGTGTGTGTGTGTGTGTGTGTGTGTGTGTGTGTGCATCCGTCCCTCTGTGGTCAGTCAGGAGGTCCAACTGAGCAGTCAGCTGTGTCAATAAGGAACATGAACAGGAATCGCTGTTTCCTCCTTTCCCTCACTTCCATCTCCCAGCACCAAGCAGCATGGAGAGTTTGAACTTCTGCCCTGGGGGAAAGCCGGCTTTTCTGGGCCAACTTTTCTGTTCTGGAGAAGCAACTGCTCTGCAGCATCCCTCCCCGCAGGGAGGCACCAGCTGTGGGTTGCCTGCCATGCCTGGGTACCAGCTGGCACCACCCCAGGCAGTGGCTGGGCTACCTGGACCACCCCAGGTGGGAGGTCACGAGCCTGCAGGAGCAGGAGGTGGACAGGGCAGATGGTGAAAGGGTCTGGGAAGCAGCAGTGGGGAGAAAGGGGTTTCTGGAGGGCCCTGGTGATGGGCATGAGAAACCCCAGTGAAAGGCAGTGGTGGTGGGACACCCTGGACACAAAGGTTTTGACCATGTCCATGTTTTGTTCTGCTTTTGCCTTGGTCAGAAAGTCACGCCGGGAGGAAGTGACAAACAATGCAGTGCTCCAGGCCATGCGTTTTTACCCGCTTCTCCCTTCACCCAGAGCTGTGCTGTGCCCTGCTGCGGGACGGCTGCTGCGAGACGGCCGCATTCGTTTGCCCGCAGTTCGCAGGGCTCGCTGGCTCAGCCGCCGCAGCGCAGCCTTCGGAAGGCACGTGGTGCCCCCAGCCCTGCCCCCAGACTCCCGGCCACGTGTCCCCAGCACAGCGGTCTCGGGCTGGTGACCCAGGATGTGTGCATCTGGCTCGTGCCGTGTGGCAGGAGGAGACACACGAGTTTGGCCAAAATGGCACTCGAGCGAGGGTGCTGCAGCTGGGGCGGCTTTTGCAGGGAAACCGTTCCCCTGGCCTCCCTCCCTCCTGCGCCGTGTGCCGGCCCTCAGCTGGAGATGCATTTTTGACCCCCTGAACAGGTAGAATGGTGGTAGGTGTAACAACAAGTCAGGCTAAATGGCTTCTTCAAGTGTCTTGGATTCTCCTCCCTGAGCTTAGTGCATGCTTTCACATCCTCGCTCCTTTTTTTTGAGAACAGCCACGAAGGCTGCTTGCACCCTGCTGCCCTGCCTGCACAGCCACCCGTGCAGATCCAGATCCAGAAGCACCTGTGCATGGCTCCCGACCCTGTCTAAATCAATGCAACAGGGTCAGACGGAGCTGGCACAAAACAGTGGGGGG